AGCGTCTGTCGCGCTTCGGATTCGAGTTCTGGGGCGTGACACTTGGTTCCTCTCAATTTTTGGTAGATTCCCGAATTTCCCCTGCACTTCTCACCAGTAATTCCCCAACCCACAACTTCAATTTTGCTTGCTGAAAATTCTGGTATGTGACAGCTCAATCTAAGTCCAAATTGCCCCTTTAGTTGATAAATTTATCCATTTAAATTGCTGCCCTGTGCTATCCAAAATTCTGCAGGAATAAGGGATGAATTCCGGTCGCAATTAGGACAATTTAAGCATTAATTCAAGTAGAATTCATGTGATTGAGTGTTAATTGGTTGCTATGAGGTTTCGGAGAAAAATCTCGTGAATGTATTGTATTGTTGATTTTTGGAAGTTGCAGTTACTGTTCACTACATAATTACTGTTCATGGATACTGTTCACAGATTACTGTTCACGCACCAATGGCCAACAGTAGGAGGGTTTAAATGTTTAGTTTATACTGAGAATAAAATTGAGATGTCCGGTCCTATGGTTATTAATTTTGGAATATTTTGGTTAGGTTCTTGATTGTTCTGTCACCTCAACACTTGGAGTGAATTTTATGTGTTATGTGACTGAGGTAAGTAAATTATGCTAATGCCCTTTGGTTTCAAAGTAAAAGCATATTTTAAATTGTTTTTGAGATGGTGGCAAGATTTAAATTGATTTTATTTGCATAGAGCATGATTGGTTTGAAATGGAATTATTATAATTTTCATTGAGTAGAGCATGTCTACTTGGAATTTACTTAACTGCCCTGATGATCTGAGAATTTTGTAAATTCTGATTTTTTTGTTAATTTTGATTTTTTTGTTAAATCCATGCTTATATGGAATTTTTCGGTTTATTTCTGAAATTTGAGATTGATTGTGAATTACGGATTTTTCTTGTAAATCCTGCATGGTTTTGTCTCAAATATGGTCATGTTTTACTGTGCCTGCTAGTGGGAGGTTTATAAACGCTAGCACATGTCGACATGTTTACTGATAAGACCGGTTCATTCTGAAATCCTGCCAATGGGATAATACATTGGTTATTACTGAAATCCTATCAATGGGATAATACATTAGTTATTACTGAAATCCTACCAATGGGATAAAACATTGGTTACTATTGTGCTCGCCAGTGGGAGGTTTATAAATGTTGGCCATGACTTATAAATGAGACTACTACTAAAGCTTATTCTGCATTAACTGTTATCATTGAACGTTTTGTTATGTTAAACTGTTTATCAAGCATACTTAAATTTTACTTGCGGGCTACCCATATTTTTACTTACTAAGATATTTTATCTCATAGTTTTCCTTGTCCACCATTTCAAGTAGTGAGACCCGAGGCATGGTTAATCAGGGGGAGTGACAAGCTAGACGGCTAGTCAGTATTTTGGACTTAGACCGTTAGCCACACATGCTTGACATAGATGTGAACTAATAAATCATTTTTTTATACTGATTTTCCTTGGTTATAGCCATGGCTGTTTTATAAACTTTGTACACCTGGACTAGCAAATTTTTGGTAACTGAAAGCTAGTTAGTAACCGATTTTTTTTATTTAAGTTATGTAAATTAGTAATTATGAACACAGTAAGTTCCGAGTCTTGTGCATTTGTGAGACCCGTTCACGAATACACGGCGTCTATTTCACTCCTAGTTTTGGGGCGTGACAACAAAATTGAGAACGAGACAACCAAACCAATTAATTCAGTATCAAAACCAAATAACCAAAGTGTTATTCAATATAGTCTTTAGTTGCTACCTCACAAAAAAATCAACCAATAAAAACCATCATTTCAAGTTCAATTCCAACTAAACCGAACTGATGCCCACCCCTATTAACAACTATCATATTTATATGCAACAAAATCCTAAATCCTAAACAGCTTGCCAATGGGTTTTCGAAGGTTAATTAGCCTCCTTCTTGTGGCATTTGGTGTCTATATATCTAGTTACACATAATTCTTACACAATTTTTTTTTTTTAATTAGAAGGTGGATTGTTAGATAGGTCTTCAAAAAAAATTTTAGGAAGATGACTTGCCTTACACTATCTTATATATATAAGTGTTTGCCAATCGGATCTCAAAAACATTATGAAAAAAAAAACAGCTTAAAACTAAATCATTTTTTTAAAACACTATGAGAAAAAATTAAAAGAAACTCATTCTTAGTTGTAAAATAAGTTGTTTAGTCTTTTTAACAAGAGTTTATTAAAATAACATAGTTTTTGAGCATTTTTCCTTTTAATTTTTTAGAGATTTAGCTAACAAATACTTTTCCTATATATATAGGAAAAGTATTTGTTAGTTAAATCAACCACCGCCTCTCTATAAAGACATTGAGGCCTTACCATCCACTAACTAGTCTCTCACAATGTAGCTTAGACATTGAAGAGCCAAAACTATGGCACATAAGCAAATCAAGGATGATGATTTTACAGTTGGATATACCCTTTTTACCAAGGATAAAATTCAAAAAATTTATCTGGACCCTAATGTGTTTCACTATTGGAGAATCCTTTAATAGTTCATCATCTATTTCATTAGTAGATGATCCCCAAAGGCAACTCATGATGTATTTTAATCCAAGAATTCCCTTGCCCAAGCTACATGAAGATTCAATGTATATATATATATATATATAT